CTTCTGTCCCCTACTGACCCCTTCTGTCCCCTACTGACCCCTACTGTCCCCTTCTGTCCCCTACTGACCCCTTCTGTCCCCTTCTGTCCCCTTCTGTCCCCTTCTGTCCCCTTCTGTCCCCTACTGACCCCTTCTGTCCCCTACTGTCCCCTTCTGTCCCCTACTGACCCCTACTGTCCCCTTCTGTCCCCTACTGACCCCTTCTGTCCCCTTCTGTCCCCTTCTGTCCCCTACTGACCCCTACTGACCCCTTCTGTCCCCTACTGACCCCTTCTGTCCCCTACTGACCCCTACTGTCCCCTTCTGTCCCCTTCTGTCCCCTTCTGTCCCATACTGACCCCTACTGACCCCTACTGACGATGCGGTCATCTTTGTACAGGGGAAGACACTGAAATGATCTCATCCTGTCTCTCTAATGCTTTGGACAAGGTTCACCACTGGCTGAACAACATGTGCTTACAGTGAAATGTAAAAAGAACAGTATGCATGATGTTCAGTAAAGGACCAGTCAAAATCGAAGGATCCAATGTGTTTTTAAACGGAGCAGAAATAGAACTAGTCTCCCACTTCAAGTATCTTGGAGTCATACTGGACATACATAATTGTCCCCCTAAAAGGATTTTAAATAATTATTTTTGCATTTAAATGCATTTATGTTATCATTAATATGGTTCCCCAACACAATGCACATAGTCTGGAGCTCACTGGGGTCCTGCATATGCTTTAATCAGGCGTTTTAACACTTTTTCGCATGAAAATGATTTTTAATCACTATCATGGGGCTATGAAAATCAAATTCCGGGTAATGCAGAGCACAATTGTACCTTTTACTATTTAAATGTATTTGTATTATATATTTTTGGGCTAGAAAGTTGATCTTTCTGGGTGATTTAGTCAGTTTATGGAGCTTAGCCAATAAATCCTGGATGATCCAGGCCGAATTTGGGTGCTCATAGGCGGCCTGCCAGGCGCCCCCACCCGTGGAAAGCAAAAGAAAGTGAAGAAAACGGTTAATCATATCTTAACATAATCAAAAATGAAGTTTTGAAAAATTGACTGAGTGCCAACGGGTTAGGAAAACCACGACGAGTTAGACATCTGGAAAATGAATTATTTATATTTCAAACATTTGTAATAATGTTAACATTTAAAGGAGGAAATCTGGGTACACTTTATAAAATAGTGATTTGAAAAGAGGAACAAGTTGTTATTATTATGTGTAAAGAAATAAATAATGATAAAAAAGGTTTAGGCTGTGGCTCAGTGAGGAAGTGCGCTGGTTCAATCCCCCTGCAGTCAGCATGTCGTTGTGTCCCTGAACACACCTCACCCTGTGGGGACTGTCCTCAGCATGTCGTCGTGTCCCTGAACACACCTCACCCTGTGGGGACTGTCCTCAAGCATGTCGTACGTTGTCCCTGAACACACCTCACCCTGTGGGGGACTGTCCTCAGCATGTCGTCGTGTCCCTGACACACCTCACCCTGTGGGGACTGTCCTCAGCATGTCGTCGTGTCCCTGAACTACCACCTCACACTGTGGAGACTGTCCTCAGCATGTCGTCGTGTCCCTGAACACACCTCACCCTGTGGGGACTGTCCTCAGCATGTCGTCGTGTCCCTGAACACACCTCACCCTGTGGGGACTGTCCTCAGATGTCGTCGTGTCCCTGAACACACCTCACCCTGTGGGGACTGTCCCTCAGCCATGTCGTCGTTGTCCTGAACACCACCTCACCCTGTGGGGACTGTCTCAGCATGTCGTCGTGTCCCTGAACACACCTCTCACCCTGTGGGGACTGTCCTCAGCATGTCGTCGTGTCCCTGAAACCCCCTCACCCTGTGGGGACTGTCCTCAGCATGTCGTCGTGTCCCTGAACACACCTCACCCTGTGGAGACTGTCCTCAGCATGTCGTCGTGTCCCTGAACACACCTTACCCTGTGGGGACTGTCCTCAGCATGTCGTCGTGTCCCTGAACACACCTCACCCTGTGGAGACTGTCCTCAGCATGTCGTCGTGTCCCTGAACACACCTCACCCTGTGGAGACTGTCCTCAGCATGTCGTCGTGTCCCTGAACACACCTCACCCTGTGGGGACTGTCCTCAGCATGTCGTCGTGTCCCTGAACACACCTCACCCTGTGGGGGACTGTCCTCAGCATGTCGTTGTGTCCCTGAACACACCTCACCCTGTGGGGACTGTCCTCAGCATGTCGTTGTGTCCCTGAACACACCTCACCCTGTGGGGACTGTCCTCAGCATGTCGTTGTGTCCCTGAACACACCTCACCCTGTGGGGACTGTCCTCAGCATGTCGTTGTGTCCCTGAACACACCTCACCCTGTGGGGACTGTCCTCAGCATGTCGTCGTGTCCCTGAACACAACTCACCCTGTAGGGGACTGTCCTCAGCATGGTCCTAACACACCTCACCCTGTGGGGACTGTCCTCAGCATGTCGTCGTGTCCCTGAACACACCTCACCCTGTGGGGACTGTCCTCAGCATGTCGTCGTGTCCCTGAAACACACCTCACCCTGTGGGGACTGTCCTCAGCATGTCGTCGTGTCCCTGAACACACCTCACCCTGTGGGGACTGTCCTCAGCATGTCGTCGTGTCCCTGAACACACCTCACCCTGTGGGGACTGTCCTCAGCATGTCGTCGTGTCCCTGAACACACCTCACCCTGTGGAGACTGTCCTCAGCATGTCGTCGTGTCCCTGAACACACCTCACCCTGTGGGGAATGTCCTCAGCATGTCGTTGTGTCCCTGAACACACCTCACCCTGTGGGGACTGTCCTCAGCATGTCGTTGTGTCCCTGAACACACCTCACCCTGTGGGGACTGTCCTCAGCATGTCGTCGTGTCCCTGAACACACCTCACCCTGTGGAGACTGTCCTCAGCATGTCGTCGTGTCCCTGAACACACCTCACCCTGTGGGGACTGTCCTCAGCATGTCGTCGTGTCCCTGAACACACCTCACCCTGTGGGGACTGTCCTCAGCATGTCGTCGTGTCCCTGAACACACCTCACCCTGTGGGGACTGTCCTCAGCATGTCGTCGTGTCCCTGAACACACCTCACCCTGTGGGGACTGTCCTCAGCATGTCGTCGTGTCCCTGAACACACCTCACCCTGTGGGGAATGTCCTCAGCATGTCGTCGTGTCCCTGAACACAACTCACCCTGTGGGGACTGTCCTCAGCATGTCGTCGTGTCCCTGAACACACCTCACCCTGTGGGGACTGTCCTCAGCATGTCGTCGTGTCCCTGAACACACCTCACCCTGTGGGGACTGTCCTCAGCATGTCGTCGTGTCCCTGAACACACCTCACCCTGTGGGGACTGTCCTCAGCATGTCGTCGTGTCCCTGAACACACCTCACCCTGTGGGGACTGTCCTCAGCATGTCGTTGTGTCCCTGAACACACCTCACCCTGTGGGGACTGTCCTCAGCATGTCGTCGTGTCCCTGAACACACCTCACCCTGTGGGGACTGTCCTCAGCATGTCGTTGTGTCCCTGAACACACCTCACCCTGTGGAGACTGTCCTCAGCATGTCGTTGTGTCCCTGAACACACCTCACCCTGTGGGGACTGTCCTCAGCATGTCGTTGTGTCCCTGAACACAACTCACCCTGTGGGGACTGTCCTCAGCATGTCGTCGTGTCCCTGAACACACCTCACCCTGTGGGGACTGTCCTCAGCATGTCGTCGTGTCCCTGAACACACCTCACCCTGTGGGGACTGTCCTCAGCATGTCGTCGTGTCCCTGAACACACCTCACCCTGTGGGGACTGTCCTCAGCATGTCGTCGTGTCCCTGAACACACCTCACCCTGGGGGGGACTGTCCTCAGCATGTCGTCGTGTCCCTGAACACACCTCACCCTGTGGGGACTGTCCTCAGCATGTCGTCGTGTCCCTGAACACACCTCACCCTGTGGGGACGAGTGAGTTTCAAACCTGGAGGAAAAAGAAGTTTTATATTTCAAGAAAAAGCCTAAATATTTAAAAGGAGAAAATGTGAGCTGAACGTCCTTTAAGGAATAATTTTCATAAGTTTCTCACGTATTATAATGCTGCTGCTAACAGGAGACATCTGAAGAACACCCCCCCCCCACCACACACCCCCCCCCCCCCCCACACACACACACACACACACACACGCACACACACACACACACACACACACACACACACACACACACACACACACACACACACACACACACACACACACACACACACACACACACACACACACACACACACACACACACACACACACACACACACACACACACAGCTGCTCTGTTCTCAGGATGTTTAATATTTGCTCTCTCCTTCGGCGTTAATCTGAACCAGTTGCTAATAAACGTTATTCAGTCTGTTCCTGAAGTGATCAATATAAACTTTAAACTTAATGAATCAGTCAAAGATTATTTCCATCAGATTCATTGAATTTGAAAGTGTTAAAGATTTTTGACTTTATTTCTGATTAAGTATTTAAACATAAATATAAATATATGTACTTATAAGATAAGATGTATCTTTATTGTAGGGAAGGTGTGAGAGCAGCAGTGAGAGAAACACAGATGGTCCTCATGAGGAGAAACAGAGAGTTTCATGTTTCATGAGGAACCTATGTGCTGCAGGTCTCTATGATCTCAATGGGACCATCTGGTTAAAGGTTTGAAATGAAATGAAATAAAAACAACACAACTTAAATAAATAAAACAAACATAGAATGTACATGTATACATGTGCGTGAGCAAGGCTAAATATATATGCATTTAAATGTGCAGATATATCAGTATGTTTTTTAGAGTAGCGTTTATTGTTTTCCAGTCTCCCTACGGAGGCGTGTGAGCTGTGAGATGTGAGCAGCCAATCACAGGGCATGTGAACGGTCCAGCTGGCAGCAGCAGGAGCAGTGAGCGCTCTGATTGGCTGTGGCACCGGCAGGCTTCAGGATAAAAGAGCAGGCGTCCCTGAACACATCATCTTCCTCACCATGGCCTTCCTCTGGATCCTGTCCTGCCTCGCCTTCGTCAGCGCCGCCTACGGTCAGACCGATAGTCTTCATTCTGTACTGATGTTTATTAACCTGTTCCTCTTCAGTTAGTATCCAGATGTTCTCAATCCTTCAGTTAGTATCCAGATGTTCTCAATCCTTCAGTTAGTATCCAGATGTTCTCAATCCTTCAGTTAGTATCCAGATGTTCTCAATCCTTCAGTTAGTATCCAGATGTTCTCAATCCTTCAGTTAGTATCCAGATGTTCTCAATCCTTCAGTTAGTATCCAGATGTTCTCAATCCTTCAGTTAGTATCCAGATGTTCTCAATCCTTCAGTTAGTATCCAGATGTTCTCAATCCTTCAGTTAGTATCCAGATGTTCTTCTGATGCTAGCTGCATGTCATTTACAGTTGGCTCTCCTCTCTAAATGTGTGTACTATTATATATATTGATGTTTCTACCTGACCCCCCCAGGCTGCGGCACCCCTGCCATCACCCCCCAGGTGTCGGGTTACGCCCGCATCGTGAACGGGGAGGAGGCCGTGCCTCACTCCTGGCCCCTGGCAGGTGTCCCTGCAGGTCAGTCTGAGCCTCACTGAATATTCACCTGAGACAGATCTTATTTAACACTCCCTGCTTCTCTCAGCAATCCAGCGGCTTCCACTTCTGTGGGGGCTCCCTGATCAACGAGAACTGGGTGGTGACCGCTGCCCACTGCAACGTGAGGTCAGAACACACACACACACACACACACACACACACACACACACACACACACACACACACACACACACACACACACACACACACACACACACACACACACACACACACACACACACACACACACACACACACACACACACACACACACATACAAAGGAAGGTTTAATGAAACACCACTTCCTGCTTCCTGTTTCAGGACGTACCATGTGGTGATTGTTGGGGAACACAATAAGGGCTCCGGCTCCAACGAGGACATCCAGAAACTGAAGCCCGCCCAGGTGAGACCCCGTCAGCCAATCAGTATTCAGAGCACCCCCCCCCCCTTCCTTTACCATTAACTGACCCACCCCCCCCCCCCAGGTGTTCACCCACCCCCTGTGGAACCCCCGCACCATCACCAACGACATCTCCCTCATCAAGCTGGCCTCGCCCGCCCTCCTGGGACCCAACGTCTCCCCCGTGTGCCTCGCCGAGTCCTCCGACAACTTCAGCGCTGGGACCACCTGCGTGACCTCCGGCTGGGGGCTGACCCGCTACAATGGTGAGTTTCTATGCTAAGCTAACGGAGGCTAACGGTTAGTCGTCTCAACACTTGTTCTGTAGCGGCTTGACGATAGGTACAGACTGGAGAAAGATCTAAATGAGGCAGTCCGTTTACCGTTAGCTGGATCAGGGACAGCAGAACATTCATGGGTGCGTTTGATTTCTCCCCCTGCAGCTGCCAACACCCCCAACCTGCTGCAGCAGGCCTCCCTCCCCCTGCTGTCCAACGAGCAGTGCAAGCAGCACTGGGGCAGCAACATCTCCGGAGTCATGATCTGTGCTGGAGGAGCTGGAGCCACTTCCTGCATGGTGAGGCCCCGCCCCTACCTGTCTCACCCTCTCTGTGTCTCTCCCCCTGTGTAACCTGTCTCTCTCCCCCCTGCAGGGAGACTCTGGTGGTCCTCTGGTCTGTGAGAATGCCGGAGCCTGGACTCTGGTGGGCATCGTGTCCTGGGGAAGCAGCCGCTGCTCCACCTCCACCCCCGCCGTCTACGCCCGCGTCACCGAGCTGCGCAGCTGGGTGGACCAGACCCTCGCCGCCAACTAAGCAGAGGAAACCCCCACTTGACATACGACCCCCCCCCCCCCACCGAACCCCTGACCCCCAAACCCTAATAATAAAAACTCTGAAACTCACATACCATGTCTGTCTTTCATTAAGGTTCCTCCGACTGAGGGGGAGCAGCTCTCACCCCGTCCCCCAACCCAAAAATAAAATGTGAACATCACCCCCTGCGTTTGTTGTTTCCATTTCTGCTATTTGTGTTTTTATAGATAAATATATACATCATATAATAAAATACCTTTTTAGGGTCCCCCGACTGACGGGGAGCAATTCTCAACTTGACCCCTGACCCCTACCCCCAAAACTCTGACCATCACCCACCATGTCTGTGTTTTGGTTTAATAAATGTGTGTAGATATTCAAATAGATATGATGTGATTCAGGTACCTCAGACTGGGGGGGAGCAGCTCGGACCCTCCCCCCTGAACGTTAGTTCCCCGATGCAGGGGCAAAGGATCAGAAAGCATGTTGTTGCTTCTGACTGAGGAGACTGGCTTATTGTAAAGAGCTTCAAACCATCTCATACAGACAGGGGGCCAAATCCACATGTTGATAGAACATTAAATAAATATGGCCATTCTATCCAAGGCTTTCTCTGCATCCAGTGATATTGCATCCAGTGATATTGCATCCAGTGATATTGCATCCAGTGATATTGCATCCAGTGATATTGCATCCAGTGATATTGCATCCAGTGATATTGCATCCAGTGATATTGCATCCAGTGATATTGCATCCAGTGATATTGCCATTGCTGGGAGATGGAGGGTGTTAGCGCTACATATAACCTGGAGCAGCCTTCTCATGTTATTAGCTGACTGGCGTCCAGCTACTAATCCTACCTGGTCTAGATTCACTAGGGATGGGATCACTCCCTCCAGGCGAAGGGCTAGGATTTTTGCAAACACCTTGTAATCATTGTTAAGAAGACTTAGGGGTCGGTAGTTGCTCATGTATTGATGATCTTTCCCAGGTTTCGGAAGTAGACATAATGTGGCGGTACGCATTGTTAGGGGCATTGATTGTTTTTCTATCATGTCGTTATACAACATAACCAACAATGGCGACAACACTTCCAGAAAGCATTTATGAAATTCAATACTAAAGCCATCGCACCCAGGGGTCTTGCCCTAATTGGGGACTCCAATTTAGCACGACTCCCACCATTCACCATAAATGATCTGCAAATTGACAGTTACCCGGGGGCTACGTTCAGACATGCCGAGGCCATCATCAAAAAGGCCACTTCTTCCACTGTGGTGCAAAAAGTGATCTTGTCATTTGGACTAAATAACAGAACAAATCAAGTTAAGAAGACCACCTTGAAACAGCTGCAGGCAGCAGTCCGAGCTGCTAAGTTGAGGTTCCCACAGGCAGCAATCTGGATACCTGTTATAAATTACTCACACTTTCTGCCACATCATGAACAAAAACATTTGCTCCATTTAAATGACTACATCACACAGAATCTAAAGCACATACCACAGCTGCCAAGCGGGTCATTTGGGACCGAAAAGGATCATGTCCATTGGACGAAAGCCACCGCAAGACTCATGCTGCAACACTGGTGTAAGCAGGTAAACTAAATGTCCCCTCAAATCTGCCTTTACAGGAGGGGAATAAAAATGTTTTAATATTAGCCAAACACGTCACATTGACTCCCCCGCAGATCTCGCTCTTAAACAGGGGTCTAAATTTCATCCCTACAAAAGGTAGTAACACAAATCTTATCGAGCAAGGCAGGTGGGATTTGCAACAGTACCACAGGAGATTGAAACTAGCAACATATTTTGAACACAAAAAAGATTCTGTCCCACCTCCATTTACTCCCAAATCGCACTGGGTTCCCGCCGCGGGCACACTTCCGGCGGAACCCACCACTCTCATTGCAGCTGATATCAACCACTTTGATAGCAGCTTCCAGATGCTCCGTGTCCAACCGAACCTCTGTCCAGAGGAGGTTGCAGCATTGCAGGAGCTCAGCAACAACAAACAGATCATCATTAAGCCAGCCGATAAAGGCAGCGTAGTTGTTGTTATGGACCGGGACCAGTACCTATGGAAGGGATACAGACAATTATCGGACACCAACTATTATTCCAAATTGAACAAACCAATTTATCTGGACACAATCAAATCAGTTGACAAGATCTTACAAACACTATATGACAAAAAATTCATTAATGCCAAGCAAATGAAGTTTCTATCAGGCACCGATGTACCCAGGGCCAGAGTATTTTACATGCTGCCAAAGATACACAAGGAAAGACACAAATGGTCCTTACCTTATGAAATTCCTCCTGGCAGACCCATAGTGTCTGATTGCAGCAGCGAAACCTACCGCACGGCCGAGTTCATTGATTTTTTCCTCTATCCTCTCTCCTTCATCCACGCCAGCTACATAAAGGACACCTATGACTTCTTAAGAAAAATTAGACTACTCGATGTACCTCAGGACGCCATGCTATTCACCATGGATGTAGATAGCTTATACACACACATTGACTTCCAAGAAGGCATACAAGCCATAAAAAACATATTCTGGAAACACCCTGATAAAAAAAGACCAGATAAGGAATTACTACAATTATTAGAAATCAATTTGACACGTAATGACTTTGAATTCAATGGAGATTTCTTTCTGCAGATTAAAGGCACTGCTATGGGAAAGAAGTTTGCACCGGCCTATGCGAACATTTTTATGGCAGAGTGGGAAACTTCTGCCCTTTCCTCCTGCCAAAAGACTCCCAAACACTATTTCAGATATCTGGACGACATCTGGGGCGTTTGGTCTCACTCAAAAGAGGATTTTGACTTATTTGTAACCACTCTAAATAACCACAACAAATCCATCTCACTTAAATCCATCACCAGCTACACCTCAGTGGACTTTCTGGACACCACCACTTTCAAAGGAATTAACTTCCATAATACACATCAATTGGATGCTAAAGTATTTTTTAAAGAGACAGACACCCACGCCCTGCTCCACAAAACTAGCCACCATCCGAATCACACTTACGCGGGATTGGTTAAATCACAGCTTTTGAGGTTCCATAGAATATGCAGCAACAGAGATGATTTCATTATGGCCACCAAAACGCTCTTTGGAGCATTGTTCTCTAGAGGGTATACTCGCTCCTTTCTAAAAACATGCTTTAGAACATTTCAACAGACGAAACCCATTTCGGTCTCCTCCAAATTGCCTTTTATAACTACATATTCCCAGTCAGCTGTTAAATTAGTCAGAGTCATCAAATCCAACTTTCAAAACATTATAGGAAATACGGACATTTTACAAGACCACACTATTATTGCAGCGTTTAGGAAAAACAGAAACCTGCAGTCGTACTTGGTCAAAGCAAAAATACAACCCATATTGACCCCAAATTCCAGAGGTCATGGTGATTTTTTTCAGCAACAAATCTGGTTGCGCAGCAAATCCAATAACAATGTTTATAAAACACAGGATCTGGGCAGTCTACAATCTAAAAACTGTGTTTACCTCATTACATGTAAACATTGTGGACTACAGTATGTGGTTGAAACTGGCAATACAATTTCGATATGATTCACCCAACATAGATATAATATTTTGAAAAGAAAAAACACACTTACTCCATTAGTTACTCACTTCCTGCTCCATGGATGGCAATCCGTTCAAGCAGCGGTCCTGGAGTCCAACTCCAGATGGTCTGTGGCCCAGAGACGTAGATGTGAGAGACTTTGGATAGCCAGATTCGACACCCTAACCCCTAACCCTAACCCCTAACCCTAACCCTAACCCTAACCCTAACCCCTAACCCTAACCCTAACCCTAACCCTTTATCTAGAGAGCCATTGAAGCCCAAGAATTTATCCTTCCACAAATCTTTTCAACTGCTGTATTAATAAAGTTGCCACGTGTTTTCAAATTCAAGTTAAGGCACAATCTGTGTAAAACATTACAAATATTCTTCATTTGCAGTATTTTAAAAGTGTTCAGAAAGACTGCATCAATTATGCTATATATATATCTATATATATATAATATCAATATTGTTATTAACTTCCACCAAAGTCAATTTAAATAGCAGGCAAAAATGGGTTAATTGCCATGGATGTGGTGTTTGATATATTTACGTTCAATTTGAACTATTTTAGGCAGAAAAACGTATATTGACTAAACCTTTTTTAATTTACTATAATTTAGAAAGGTTTTTGTGAGAAATCATTTCAAAAGTAAACTTCTTTTTCATTTTATATTTACATTTGAAATGTTTGCACACAACATTATTAATTTATACATATTTTTTAAATTATGAATCCATTTATTTTATTGTATTTCCTTGAGGCTGGGGAAGATATCCAGCATGTGGTTCAACATGTAATACAAGTAAGTACAAGTACAACATGGAAAAGTAAATAAAATAGGTTTAATAGGAGGATGTGGATTTATTTTCTCTCACCTTGTAATTACACAATCAAACAATCTATAATTTAGCTCTGGCCTTCACAAAAACATTTTGTTGAATTGGACACATTTTTCGAAGCTCTATTGACTGACATGCGATGACTGGGACTGATGGAAGAATCTGAGAGGAATGAACTAGGAGCAGAGAAATAATCATATTTAAAAGACAGCAGCCCCATAAGAGGCCAACCAGAGTCACAAGGGAGCGCCACTTTGCTGAAGGATAGACCAGCTGTCCAGGCCAGACTCTAAAGGCTTTCCAAGGGGTACAAATGCTGCTGCCGGAGTACTGAAGTGTTGCTGATATCATACCATCCTCTTAAAATACTCTGTCCAACAATATCAGTCTCATGAGAAAGGTGTTTTAACGCTTATTCAAAATAGCAGAGAAATATGCATTATTGTACTCAGGAGGGGACATTGACAGAGGATTACTCAAAAAGTACACAGTAAAAGTACTTCATAGTACTTGTGGGAGTAGTTTCACTAGTACTGAGTCCAACAGTGTCAATCTCATGAAGAACTATTGGCAAAAAATAATTTTTTCCCTCATCAAACTTAGCAGAAGTGGCTTGATTTTGTTCTCAGGAGGGGACTTTGACAGAGGATTAAAAAGAAAAACACACACTAGAAGTACTTCAATGTATTGTGATAGTAGGTGTAAGAATACTGCGTCCAGCAGTCTCAATATCATTA